AAAATTTTATTTTTTAAGTAAAATAGGTCAAAAACAATTTCATCTTCAAATTTTAATTTCGTACTCTAAAACCTAAAATAATTTCGTTGGTATATATAATCTAAATATGATATATGGTATTTATTTTTCTTGATTCAACAATCTATTAAAACCTTTTCTTTACATATAATTTGTTTTGTTTTCTAATTATCATATCAAAACTTGTGATTTTTTAAAAATAAAAATAGTAAACAATACTGATCTTTTGAACAATTTACTTATTTGTGCAGGTAATATAAACCAAAAAAGAAATCAAATTTTGTAAATAAACCAAGTATGCAAAAATAGAGAACGTTTAAAGCCATGTCCAGTCATATGTTTTTAATTTTTTATTAGAGTTAAGTTAAAGGTTAGTTTGAGATTAGAGTCAAGACATATTTTATAGTAAAATTGTCTTTCTAACATTTTTTATTAATATACCAAGATGGGTTTAGACTATCGTTTCTTGTATTTTTTGCGATTTTCACTTTTTTTTGCTGTTTTTGTCTCTTCGGGCTAATCTGTATCGATCAAAATAAACAATTCTATTGGCTCTATGTCATATAATAGATATGGCTTTAGACGATCCCAAAAATAGAAGTTTAGAATTAAGATATTAGAATTGTGAGCTTTAGCAATAAGTGTGGTTTTTATATATAAAATTTTATCTTGTTATTTTTATTAGTCAACCAAGATTGATTTAAATACTAGTTTTTGAGTATTTTTATTTTATTTTATTTTTTTTCTTTTGCACATATATATATTCTATGTTGAGCTAATTTGGAATACCCAAAATTTGTATTTTCTGATTGGCTATTTTTTTTTTAAAGGGTTGTATTATTGTACAAATAAGTGAATACTCTTTTTGAGTAGTAAGCCAAATTCTCACTTTTTATCAAAAATTATAAAAAAAAGAAAATGATGAAAGGGTAATCATAATTTTGTAAGTTTCTAACTAGAGAATATTGTTTCAAGAGTTGTTTATAACCTTCTGTTTCTAAACACTTGAGTTTACTTTCTATTTACTGTTCCCAGAGACTCTTTTAGTTTGGATGTCAAATACAAAAAAAAAATCTATCTCGGAAAGAAAGAGAACAAACCTTGATCCTTTTGCAAACTATCTAAAATATCTACTTCTTGGTATATCACATTTAAAGACTTTATTGACAACAGTTTATATCAAGTAAATTTCAAGTTGTTGTTAACTTCTGATCTTAAATCTTCTACTTGCTTTCAGTAAAAAGTTAGTATAAGTGATCATTAGTGAGAGTTGTTATGTTGTGCTTATTTTTTATTATATTTTCTTATTTCTTTATATTTATTTTTAATTTCTTTTTATTTTTTTAAAAAATATTATCAAATTAGTTGTATTCTATTATAAAGCAGTAATTAAACAAGTCTTTTAAGTTTTTAGTAATTATTTTGATATAATAAGTTATTTATAAATATTATTAGAAGTAACTACAAAATATTAAATCTAAATATATCCAACTAATAATTTGTATTTATTAACAAATTAATTTAGAATAAAAGATTACTAACAAGACTGCCTAAGTAAAAAAAAAAAAAATTCTTATATTCATATCTTTAATTCCAAATATCTTAAGAGATATATATACTAGCTTAATTTTAATGATTTAATACTATTAGAATAAGAAAATTTTTTTATAATTTTAATTAAAAATCTAACAAATTTTAATTTAATAAAAAATTTTAATTTTAAAAAATTATTTTTTTAAATTAATTAGTTAAATAAAAATACAGTCGCACCCCTCTAAGTGCATGCTATAGGGACCAGGCATAAGTGTGCACTTAGAGGGATGTGCATTTATAAAATTAACTTAGATAACCAATTAAAAGTAAAATAAAACACGTGATTAACACTAAAATATTTAGATAAAATTTTATTTTTTAAAATATTGTAGAATTAATTGATAAAATTTCACATTGTATAAGGATATTAAGTAGTCTATAGAGAACTAGTTTGGACTGAGTCTGGACTAGACTTTTTAGGGACTAGTACATAGGAAATATTTCAGTACTGGTCAAAAACCAGTTCAGCTCTCGCATAATATAAATAACGTATTATTTTTGACACATTAAATAAAATTTAATAAAATGTGAATCAATAAAAATACACCCTAAGTGATGGTACTTTAAATAAACTTCACTAATTAGGAAATTAATAACAGATACTCTAATTAGTAAATTATGTTAAAATTAATTAAGTGTTGACTTTGTAAATAAAGTTTGTAATAAAAAGTATTATAAAATCTATAGTAAACCGCTAGGGTAGGACTACTGTAGGATTTGTTTTTAACAGGGCCGTGAACTAGTTTTTAACTATTCTAGGCCAGACTTTTTAAAGGCTGGACCAGAACTGGACCAGATGCCCACTTAACATCCTATTGTAGAATTAATCGTGAAAATTTTTTTAAAAAATCTTACCGAATCTGGTCCATATATACGTACAAAACAAATGCACATTCCATTTTTAGAGATCAAGAGCACAAATAATATAGCAGGATTGTAAAATTATTATAAATTACTGGTAAGTTACCTGTAAGTTACTATGGTTACCTGTAAGTTACTATGGTAATTTACTAATTTTATAGTAATTTACCAATAACTTACCATGGTAATTTACTGATAACTTATCATAATAAATTACTACTAACAACTCTGACAATGTGGCACAAGGTCAGTGACACTACTATTTTTTAGATCTCATTTTACTACTTTGACTGTATAGTATTAATTTATTCTAATCAAAATTTTTTATTTTTCAAGAATAGATAGATATCATTCCAAAATTAGAAACTTGGGCCTTCAAGCCTTTTCATAACAATTCAGTAAGTATAATTTGCTTATATCAAATTTGATCGCACTAGCATGTCGTTTACAAGTCATTCTAAGCTTTTATTTTATTATTCGCTCAATATAAATTATTAAAACCACTTTTTGCTAAATTATCTAATTCACATCCCTTGCTTGTTTGATTATTTAAATATATTCAAAATAATATCCTGCTTTATTTTAATTCCAGTTCGGTTTTGGGTTTAAGACTTGAATTTAAACTTCATATCAAATCTCAAGCAGAACACATTTGTACTTCATTTACATAAACATCTCATGAAATGCGAACTTTATTTGTTATTAGATGCTCATGATTACAAAATAAAAGTTTCTTTTTAATATATAATGATCCCAATTATGAAGTGATAGCCTGATAAATCTAATAATCTTCCTTGAACTTACCCAATTTAAATGCATTAAAGTTTTCTTGTTCATGAATCAAACCTATATCAAATTAAATAAACATCTAATTTAGTAGCATCCTCAAAATGTAAAACTTATTTGTAAAAAATGGCACTGCTAAGACAAAAAAAAAAAGATTAAAAATTATTATACACAAACTTGTACAATAAAAGAAAAAAAAAACCTTAAATAACTTACTCATATATAATCTGCCTTTTTTTTGTTCAAAAATTCTCAAGAGAACAACTCTTACTGATGCACAAAAACATGAATTTTGTATTTATGCTCGTAATAATAAACAAATTCAGTCTCATTATGTTGATTAGATTGAGAACAAATAGGATCTTAGAGTTGATGAAAGCACAATTTCGTGTATTTTGAAAATAGCTGAAGAACAACTTGACAATAATAACATTAATTCTAATACAAAGCAGCACAAAACTGTTACCTATCCAGAACTTGATCTCGCTCTTAAAGAGTTCGTGTTGATTTATCAGTATTGAACAGTTTTAACTGATACTTTACTTGTTGAAAAAGCAAAGATACTTGCTGATGGTTTAGGGATTCCTCAAGGTGCGCTAAATTTTTTCTCTAGCTAGCTTTATAAGTTCAAAAATTGAAATGGCATTCATCTACGTAAGCTTTAAGGAGAAGCCGCATCTGCTAATGTAGTGGCAATTAATAGCATTATGCTATCAATAAAAAATAAATTCTCAAATTACCCTTTTGAAAGAATCTACAATATGGACGAAACTGGGCTTTTTTATTGGTATAAATCATTAGTAAATAAAGGTTAATTAACACCATATGGCATCCATTAGAGTGGGTTTTAAAACAAAAAATAAAATAAAATAAAACTATAAAAAAAAATAATAATAATAAATAAAAAAAAATAAAGAAATTACCATATAGCCATGAAATAATACCTCACGCGTTATTTCGCAGCTATATAATAAGTGGATTTGGAATTTCTTTTCATCTAACCTATATCTTTATTTTAACCTCTATATTAACCAAATTAACCTAAATTTTGTTTCTTTTTTAACCTATTACTTTAGGTTGGAACCTGATCATACATTGGCAACCCAATATCATTCTGGACATAAAACAAACAAAGAGCAAAATGCTAATAGCTCTCATAAATTAAATCCTCTTATAATTGGAAAATATAAAAAACCACGCTGCTTTAAAAACATCAATATTAGTAATTTGCTAATGACATATAGAAATAGTACTAAAGCCTGGATGATCATATCTCTCTTTCAAGAATGGGTTCTTGAATTTGATTACCAAGTCGGTTTGAAGTATCGGGGCCAATGTGTGCTTTTACTCCTTAATAACTGTTCTAGCCATGATATTAGTGGTGTTACTCTCAGATTTACTGATATCTTATTTTTGGCTTCAAACACAACTTCGAGAATTCAGCTCATGAATGCTAGTGTTATTATGAATTTCAAGAGGAACTATCGTCGTCTTTATGTTCAGTAAGTTTTTGGTTTTTTTAAAAAAAATAACTAAAAAAAAAATAAAATAAATAAATGTTCAAAAGAGAAAATCAGTAGATAAAAATTTATCTCCTGCAGGGAATAAATTTTTATTTATTGATTTTTCTTTTCGAGCACTCAATTTCATAAAAAAATTAGATTAGATGTTATACTAATCAATTTTTTTTAAGTTGGATGTTACAAAGAGTTGAAGATGGACAGTATGCAGAAGATTTAAAAATGAATATGTTACAAGCAATCTATTTTATCATTCAAGGGTAGGACGAAGTTAAGCTAATACAATTCAAAATTGCTAGTATCACACAAAGATTATTTCCACAAATGACAATTCTGGTTTAGGTTCTTTAGAAGATTTTTGCCAAACTACAGATCCTGTTCTTAATGACATTGCCAATGCACTTGAAGCCCTTGGCCTTCCCGATTCTATAAACATTAAAGAGTTTCTGGCAATTCCCAAAAAAAATGTTGTTTATGAAGTTTCCCTTGATAATCAAGTGATTATAGAGCTTGTTGAAACTTTTAAAATGAATAACCCAACTGATACAGACTTGGAAGATGCTGATGATAGTCTTGAAATCCTCATTGTTAGTACCAACATGGCAACTGTGAGTTTGAAAACTATGCTTACATTTTTGCTTCAGCAGAATAATATGAAAATATATATTAATCTTGTAGAAAGAATTGAAAAATTTATTAAAAAGACAAAGGTTGGTCACATGTGACAAAGTAAAATTGATCAATTTTTTATAGAAAAAAATTAAATCATTTTAAATGTCTTTGTCAATGTGTTAATAAACATCAAGGATTTTTTTGCTTATAGAAAAAAATCTTTATAAATTTTTTTTTGTACTTGTAACATTAAAATTTTTTTTTTTTCGTTTGGATGATTATTTACATGTGTTTGTATGTATGTATATAGTGTCTATAATCGACTCTAATTTATCGATATCGACCTAGCTGGTTAAGTCAAAGTCGATTATTTTGATTAAAATCTCAAGCATGTGACTTTAAATGAATATGATTTGGTTAATATTAATTATGACACAACTAAGCAAAGTTGATCTCCTTTAGTATATCTCCCGAATTCTTTTGTCAATATACTATTCTAAAGTTTAATTTTCTAAGTCAATTCTTCAAGAAATCAGCTAACTTAATTGGTTAAATCGATTTTATCAGCCAAATGCTAAATCGACTACAATCACTATGTACTATATGTACGCAGGATATTAAATTGATCCAATCTAACCATAATTAGAATATTTCTATTACGGCAAGTGCAGATTTCAGTTTATAAACCAACACTGGATCATTAGATTTTAACATCCCAACTTAATATATCATTGTCTGTTGTTTATATTTGAAGCTGAAACAGAAATAATGGTACTGTTTTTGTATGCAAAAAATGCAATTTTTCAATATATATAGGTTTGTGACACAAATTTCTTAAACTACAAATCTCAAAATCACTCTTCAAAAATCTGCATAAGAAATCCTTTAATGTTACAATAAAAATTTCTGCCAGACAATTTCACTTTATAATCTACTCCTTTCTAATCCAACCCTGACCCTAACTCTGATATAAATGAACTTTAAAAAATGTTTGCTGCATCACAAACCTGCTTACATTGAAGAATTGCGCACAAAATAAAATTTTAAAAAGTTATATGAGGTCATCTTGCACCTTGTGCAGATTATATATGTGTGCGTGCTAACACGGGTTGTAAAAAAATCCGTTATTTTTATTGGCCAGCTTTGAAATTAGTCACGTGCATGCATTTAGAGGGGTGCATATATATGCTTAGACTCCGGAAACTTGTGCACGTGCAGAATATGGAGGGTATCTAAGTCCCAAGTTTGGGACCAGGTTGTAGTGTGCATATAGAGAGGGTGTGCACTTAGGGAGTATGCACTTAGGGGGGTGCGACTGTACCTCTTTTTATTTTTGTATAGCCAATTGTAAAAATAACAATTTACTATAGTAAAAATAATAATTTCCTAATTCAGGGGTCGTCTAAAGCCGTGTCAATCACGTGACATAGAGCCAATAGAATTGTTTATTTTGATCGACACGGATCAGCCC